CGAACCTTGTTGGCCCCAACTCTGTTTCGTCCGCCGTCTCCCTTGTCCGTCGCTTTGTCTTCCTATGCCTGACCCCCGGTGCTCCCTTGGCTGCGCTACCGCGCCTGGCGCAGTCTATCAGTGTCATTTTGCACTTCTGCACATTTGGCGAATAGTCGATCAAGACCCAAGCGTGGTTTTTTTTTTTTTTTTTTTTTTTTTTTTTTTTTTTTTTTTTTTTTTTTTGTGTGTGTGTGTGTGACAAGCGTTTGGGCGCAGGGAGTCTACAGTACTCAGAGTGGTTACACATCTAGATGTGTATAAGAGACAGACAGTACTCAGAGTGGTTAACTACTGTAGTTAGAATAACCAGGTGTGTGTGAGACAAGGGTTTGGGCTCAGGGAGTCTACAGTACTCAGAGTGGTTAACTACTATAGTTAGACTAACCAGGGCACTCGGCTCTCATCCACGGTAGGAGGCAGAAGAGAAGGGGGGTTGGAGAGTGTCTAGATGTAGATGGAACCGCAATAGGTTCCAACCGCCGCATAGGTGGGGTAGGGAGCATAGAAGGCAACCTTCTTCCCCCGAATACAACGCACGGTCATTATAGCCGTATTTAGACTGAAAGATACGGCTATAATGACCGTGCGTTGTATTCGGGGGAAGAAGGTAGATTTGGGTTGGGGCCAATAGTTGGGGCATTGGGTGGTGTCCCTTCATAAGTAGGTTAGGGTTGGGAATAGGGGGTGGAGGAATGGGGTACGCCCCGTGATGGTTGTGTAGGCTGATAGGAAGGGGTCTTGGTTGGATTCGTTGGTTTGTTCAGGTTGCTGCCTGGTTGGCGGGCCTTGGGTACAGTAAAAGGAAAATTTTGATCATAAAGGATTGCATGGGATAAGGGTTTTTCTGTGGGTTTTGTTTTACCAAGTTGTTGAGCCAAATGCTCACTGAACTCTTGCGGGGTTTGGCCCAGTAGTCCAGTCTTGAGTCGCTCCGGGTTGTTTGTGAGGATTCCCGGCCTCGGTGTTGGTCTTTAATGGAATTCTCGCTTTTTCCCCCCCCCAAAAAAAAAAAAAAAAACACTCACGAAAGGTGAAAATGAGAAAAAATCAGAGTGAAAAAAATAAATAAAAAATCAGAGTGCTGCATTGGCAGGACCTTGGCTGATGTTGTTGGTTGTTATGCAGCGACAATATTGGCCATTAGACACCCCCATGTGGGGTTGGGGCGGGGGTAGGGGGAGGTGCAGTGACTGGCCATTGCTCAGTGCTAGCACCGCCGATTTCCCCCATCGGCAATGCCTGCCCACCCCTCGTCACCGTGATGAGGGACTGGTACAGCCTTGTTCTAGCACCACTGCTGTGGTGCCAACCTACCCCGTGGGCTAGGGAGAGATCCGGGTTGGTTGGTGTTCCCTCAAACTATACATAGACTAGCGAGAGGATGAGATAGATGATTACTGGGAAGAAGATGAGATAGCTGAGAGAAGAATATAGGGTTGTCCATGGTGTTGTATGTCGGGTCTTGATGCTCCGCGGGTTGCTTGTGGCTGTTGCTCGTGGTTGTTATGTTGATCTCCCCAGCCTGGCATTGGCTGTTGCTCGCGGTTGCTATGTTGATCTCCCCAGTCTGGCATATCACACACAGGGGTCATTTGCGATTGTCGCTTAAATGGAGTCTTCAGGTCACATGTCATAGATCACGGGTTCGAGTCTTGGGACTTCGGGGGGGGTTCTTGTCCAGCTTGGCCTGTCATCTCTTCAAACGAACACATAGTTCCCTCTACATAGTACTGCACATATCTCGCCTTCGGGCACATACATCTCGCTATACAGTTACACATACCACACATAGCCTTCGGGCAGACACAAACAACGTGGCCCTATGGGCTCATACAAACATACATAGTCTCTGGGCACACTCACATACACACAACTACGATATTGGGCTGAGGGAGTCTATCAGGTATATGACGGGGTCTACTCACGCATGGCTTAACTCTAGGGTAGGGTAGGAATATAAGTCGCTCCGGCTAGTCTGAGTTCCGCTGGTAGGATGTGTCCACGGGCGCTGGCCTGCCTTGCTTAGGTAATCCTGCTGGGTAGACTCTCTGAATTGGTGCTGTAGAAGATTGCATGAGTCTGGCATCCAAAGTTCCCGTACGGCAAGGTTCATCCGCCTCCGCTTCCATTAGGGCTGGGAGGTTGGCCCAACCTTGGTGCTTGTCACTGCTGTCTGGTCCTAGTTGCCCTCGATACTGGTACGGTGATGGAACTGACTCCTGAGTGCTGGTCACACTGAAGTGACTGAAGTAGAGAGGTAAGTTGAATGGTCATCCATTGGGGGTACGTTGTATTTGGGGCAAGAGGGCAAGCTGTGCCAATTCTTCCGGCTCCTTGTACTGTCTTTCTTCCCATTTCTATTCTAAGAACTTTCTGTGTGTCCACGCGACCACTTCTAGACGTGCTTATATTCGGAGGCCGTGTGCTTGGAGACACTACTATTAAGGGCAGGGGGGTGGGTGGGTGGGTGGGTTCGTTTGAAATATATCGGATGCGTATAGTATGTGGGCGATGAATCTGATGATGGACATCCGTCGGAGTGGCTTCCTGGCTCAGCAGGTGCTGGCGACCAAGAGAGTCTCCGGGGTCCTACTTATGGTGTGAGTGCGTGATGAACTGCTTTGGTCCATGTTGCATGTGTGGACCGCCTATGGTGAAAGTCGGACACAGTATATCATGATCCTGTTCTTTTTTTGCCCTCTCTCTTTGTGGGTAGTTTTCTTATTATACTATTTCAGACCTTGCTTCGAAGCACCGGCAGGCTGCAGCGGTCACATATATGTGTCCCATTCATGAAGGGACGGTTACTGCCAGCCTCTGCCGCAAACACTATGACCCGTTGTCTTGCAGTCATCCATCCCCCACCAGTTTATTGCTTGCTTGACATTGCTTGCTCGACATGTCGTCGTGGCCTTGACATGCCGCCATGCTTAAATCACTCCGAACGTCAACCTGCTTTCCTGCTCGTGTGTCAGCGAGATGCCACAGGTCATCAATGTTTCCAGGAAGCTGCAATGGAAACCATTCTGTCTCTGCTGCGTGGCCGCCTATCCCCGACTCGATCACCCGCCACATCCTCTCCGTGCATGTCCCACATGCGATGTTGTGCATACACCTGCTGCACCCGTTATCGCCTCCCTTTCACCCTTGCTAGACGAGCAACGGACGCTGTGGGCGGAGGTGGGGAACAGACGCTCTTATGGTGGGAAACAGACTCTCGTACGGCCCACCTACAGTGCACCGTACGGAAGAGTTATCGCCGCCAGCGCAAGCTGTTGCAGACCAGATCTTGCCACAGCTAAACACCCTTACTTTGGATCAGGCCCCGTCCTCGCCTGCCCGTGGAGAGAGGGAGTATTGGCTGCGGAAACCCAAGAAACTTTGCTCGATGCTGCACTGTGATGGCCCACCCGAGATTCAGCTACCATGTGATTGGTTATGCTTTCTGCTGCGAGGATTGCGAAGGTATAGCCCATGCAAGTGTTTTCTTCATGGGTATGATGACAGTCAACATTGTAACAATGTACGGCACCCTGACATGGCATGTCCTATTTTTAGAAAGGGGCTGGAACGGCAATGCCTATACAATTGCAGTGACATGGCGTGTCCTACTTGTAGACGGGCTGAAATGGCAATGCTCTTTTATACAACTGCGGTCGGCATGCCTCTGTGAGCCTAGCATGTAGGAGTCACGTAGCCTGTGGCCCTGTGGCATCTGTCTACACTGTGCCATTCGATGCAGCAACTGCGACTGCGAGAATTGGATGCGGCCGCATGGCGTCGCTTCCACAGTCACACACCCAAACCGGTCCTCTCCGGTTTGTAGGGGTGGCCATAACTGTGCTCCTCCTCATCTCAAATTTTACCTGCAATGCAAACAATTACTGGCCTCTTGTGCCATTCTAGAGTGGTCTGCTCCAGCAGTGAGTATAGAGAGAACCCTGTGAAGTTAAGTCTTTCCTCTGTTCTATTCCTTGTCCCTCCTCCTCCTCCTCTTCTCCCTCCCCCCTCCCTCACTTCCTGGAGAACTCCACCACCTACCCCTTTCCTTCCTCCCCCCCCCCCCCCTCGCTTCCTGGAAAACTCCATGCTTGTATCAGATACAATGGATAGCATGCATGTACATCAGATACATGCATGTGAATTGAATGGATCTGGTACAACCATGCAGGTACATTGAATGGATCTGATACATGCATGCATGTGCATTAAATGGATCTGATACAACAATGCATGTACATTGAATGGATCTGATACAAGCATGCATGTACATTGCATGGATCTGATACAGCCATGCATGTAAATTGAATGGATCTTTTTTTTTTTTTTTTTTTTTTTTTTTTTTTTTTTTTTTTTTTTTTTTAATATTGCATGGATCTGATACAACCATGCATGTAAATTGAATGGATCTGATACAAGCATGCATGTACATCGAATGGAGGATAGCATGCATGCTTGTACCAGATACAATGGATAGCATGCATGCACATTGAATGGATAGCATGCATGTACACCTGATACGATGGAAGCGCTATTCAAATTTCAAAGGCACAGGAAGATATTCAAAAGGGAAGATCGCTGGAACCAACCAACTCCGCGTTAGGCTTATCTTTGAAATCGATCAGGCCCACCTGACCCGCCTGGAGACGGGCCAAAACCAACCATGTTGTCTGAAATCAAATGGTAATGCACCCGGAAGGTCATCGATGACCATCAAATCAACAGGTTTGATCGGGCTCTGCAATTTCAAATACCAAAAACAAAGCTGCTAGACTCTGGGAGTTTTCCTTTTTTCTCTTTCTCTTTTTTTAAGTTCCGGTATATTTTCTTTTTCCGGGAGTTTTCTTTTTCTTTTTTTTTCCCCTTCTTTTTCTGATTCCAGGAGTTGTCCTTATTCAGAACAGCAATATCACCCAACAGGAAAGAAGGTGTTGACGAATCCACAAGAAGCTCTTTCACTCATTTCGGGGGATCTGACTATTCTTCCGATTTGCTATTCAGAATAGCTTTCCATTTTTTTTTTTTTTTTCCTAACTTAAAAAAAAAAAAAAAAAAAAAAAAAAAAAAAAAAAAAAAAAAAAAAAAAACTATTCAGAATAGCGATATCGACGGATATGATCTGCCATACGATCTCGATCTGGACGGTTCCATCTGAGATTCCCCGCATCCCAGTCTGGTTCGTAAAGACCATCGTCGTCATCGTCCTCCTCGTCATCATCACCATCCTCGAGATGCTCCTCCTCCCCTTCTTCATCATCAGTTTCATCATCGTCGATGGTAAATATACGTCGAGAAGCAAAAGCTGATGCCCCAGGAGCCCTCCGTGACCACTGTTGTTGACTGCGACTGCTCATTTCTCGTGGTATTCTCCGCTCTGCCACGTCATCCTCGTCGCCCCATCCGTTCCAAAAGTCAACGTCTTTCCCATGTATTTCCACAAGAGCCTCGGAGTTTCTTCGTTTCCACGCTTCTGCCATTGCCCGGTTCTCCGCAGCTTGCCCGCCTGCCGACCCCACACAGTTTCCCGCTTGCACATCCATCCAAGATAATGATAGATCTGCGGCACGCTTAAGTCCCACCGAATCTCCTATAACTACAGTCTTGCAAAGTCGCGATCTTGCGTCTCTCAGCAAGTCTTCAAACCCTCTGTCGTCGGACACGAGGCAAATCCAATCTATCCTTCTCTCAAGGGCCTTCATGACAGCTTTGGTAATCTCCATGTCTGCGGCTTCTGGCCCTTGCTTTACCAACTGCACCCCTACTCCGCTCCTCTTCAGGTCGGGCATCAGCCCGTAACCCCTCTTGGGCAACACGATCCCTCTAGCGGCTTCGACGTAGCGACTATTTTTAGCAGCAAGCAGTTCCGCCTTCTTCTTCCTTTTCTTCCCTCTCTGAGCATTTATGGTATTCAAGCGCTTCTTTTGCTCGCGCTCGTGCAGTTGTTTGAAGTGTTTCCGCAGATCAGCATGTGTGCGACATTTGCGTCCACACATGCCGCACACATACGGTTCGCCCGCAACGGGGACGGCGCCCATCTTCTCTGCACGACTCAGTTCCCTCATTGCCTTACGCTCCTCCCGTACCCAGGTGGGGACGTACTCGAAAGCATGGCGATTCGCAAAGGCCAGATACTCCACCACATCACCAAGACCAGCCACGCACTCCCGAAGTCGGGATGCAGCTACCCGCGGATCAATGAACTGTGGAGGTTTGTTGTCAAGATCCCAATAGATCCCGACAGTAGGTCTCAGGACGAGATGCTCATCTTCGTCAACTGAGAACGGGTCCCCGTAGCCATTTTCATCTTCCGCCGCACCGCGGGGAAGCTCTCTGCCATCCGCTGTGACCCAGGGAGGGGTGCGCTGCTGCCATGCACCACCCCTGACAGTCTGCTGCGGCGCCTGCTGCCGCACACGTGGAGACGGAGGTGGTTTCCTCACTGGCCCTCCCCGATCCTCATACTGGTGTTCTTTATCATGTTTTGAACCTGACTGATAATCTCTACTTTCCCCTCTTCCTCGTCCTCCTCCTCCTCCTCCTGCTGCTGCTGCTGCTGCTCTTCGGTGCACTTGTAATGGCGTAGGCCAGTCTCTTGCAGAGTGCAGCAGCCAACCTGGGTAAGATTGCAGTACACGAGAGAGAGGAACAGCATGGAACAGTGAGAAAAGTGGGGAAGAGGAGGAAGAGGTACAGGGACAGGGAGAAAACCACCTCCTTGAGGGAATGCTGCCACGTGGCTTGACAAAATCTGTTAAGACTTGACCATGATGCCTGAAATATCCTGCCTTCGCCAATTTGCTTGGTTGGCGGGTCAGTGTGCCACAACCAAGGAGTCGACAATGACCAGCAGAGACAGACTTCATCATCACCATAGCTTCGAAGATGGCGCCGGAGCTCCAAGATTTCTGGAGGACGGCTGAACTAGCCATCATCGCTTGAAAGGAAACAAAGACAAGGAGAAGATAAAAAGTACAGGCAGAAAGGGAGGAGGAGGAAGATGTTTCTCCTCGTCGGCAGCTCTACAACCAGTTTGGCCAAAGCGTGCGCATGTGATATTACATGTTCGAAATAGGTGACAGGTGACGCTGGGCCCCGACATTTACCTTCAAGCGTCAAATTACTACGTTGTAAAACGAGTATTCATTTACTTTGAATTGGTCAGCATACTCAGATTTTCTGACTTTTCGCGGAGGTCTTAATCCAGTAACAGGAGGACTTTGGTTGAGTGATACTGCACACCATCATCTAGCTATTGCTGTTTTATTTCTAATTGCAGGACATATGTATAGGACTAACTGGGGTATACAAGGTTTTGACTCTTTGTGTTCGTGCATGTCGGAGTGCATGTATGTGTGTGTGTGTGACACTCACTCAGTTCGGTGGGCCAAGATGGTGAGATAGAGAATTGGCAGGGGGTGCGCTGAGATGGTGTGATTGAGAATTGGCCAAGGGCAGGTGTTCAAACTCCCCTTCAATCATAAGAAGAGTGCCACTGCTGTCATGCAGGCCTTGTATTGTAAAGTATGAATGGATAAATGAAGTAATCAGCATCCAATCCGCTTGGCAGTTGACATTTGCCGGGGGGAGTTATCTCAAATAGTCTTGTTACATAAGCCGTAATGCTGGGCGTGCATCTTGGAGCATTTCCTGCAAGGCAAAAGCCAAAGAAGAAACCGAGCAGCATGTGTCAGAAACACTTCCTGGACAGTGTGGCAAACTCTCCAGCGTCCCCTCCTTCATCCACATGATGCCCTCCACCCCTCCAGCGTCTCTCCGCCGTCCGTCCACCAACCTCCTCTCGACCTTTCTTTTTAAACTCCAGGCAAAATTACTCCAACCTCCACCCGGCCTCCATGCTCCATCCGCCATACTCCCTCACCCTCTGCGCCCATCCTACTCCCTCAACTGTGGCAACCTTTCACCCCTTCCACCCTCCTCTCTCACTGGATGAATCTTCCGCCTCCACTGTGCCCAACCTGCTCCTAAACTGACACAACTCTCCTTCCCAACTGCGCCGAACCCCCTCCATTTTCTTCACGCTCTTCCTCTCTCTCTCTCTCTCTCTCTCTCTCTCTCTCTCTCTCTCTCTCTCTCTCTCTCTCTCTCTCTCTCTCTCTCTCTCTCT